ATAATAAATAATTTCATAAGAACTTCGTTTGAATAATCGATATTTGCATTCATTTTGGAAGATGATTCGAAACACCGTCGATAACTCTTTGTAAATTACTTATAAAAGTAACCGAACTGCTATAAGCTTGATAATTCCACTGCTACCTAAATCCAAATACTAAAAAAAAATATTTCTAGAAGAAGCGACTTTTGTCCAAACCATCATCAAAATATCAACTTTTCATGAATTGAGAGTACTGATGTACTTAATTTCAATTAAGGCTATGTTTTGGACCATATTTGGCACAATTTATTTTTTATCTTGAAAACAGTTAGAGATAGGTATAGGACATTATCAACAAAAAAGTATTAAAATACCAGAGCAATTCCAAAAATGTATTTAATATACGGGGTGTTCCATTTAAAAAAATATAACTGCTAGGACTTTTTGATAGAAGTGGCAACGCCGCAATGCTGAAAATATTTTAGATCGATAGAACAGGTAAGGAAATGTGAGAGGTGAAATTTTCATAAAAATCATGCTTTGCGTTTTCCAGAAACGTCTAACTTAGCATCGACCGAGATTCACGCTGTATATTCATTTTAAATGTTACCTAAAAATAAAAGCAACAATAAAATGGCGCTCCGGGGCGACTTCATTGATTCCAGTTACCTTGTTTTGTCGGTAAAACAAAATTCTTCCTCTTACCATAGCATGACCAGCTCTAGCAATTATCCTCTCACATTCTGGACTCACATATGCATCTTTAATCTGAGGCCTTTGAGGATGATTTTGTTCTTCCTACATTTACAAAGGAATGTTAAACTGCAGTGGATACCTGATAGATTTTTGTATAAATCAGTTCTTTATCGAGCTTTGATTTTTGGTATTTTCACCTTCCACAATCTGAAAAATATGAAAATTATAATTTGAATTATCTTGAAGAATGATTGGGATAGTGGTGAAATGACAATAGACTGATATCTGAGAGCACCTTGCAGTGCATCGAATGTAAATAATGAAAATAAAATCATCAATTGATTAACAGTTCCTTATACTGGTACAGATACGTATAATCGATATCTTTGTCTTTATTCTGTTTCACTCGTACGGGTAGGCAGTTGAGCCATTGAATACACCGCTGAAATGAAGGTGAATAATTCAATGTTCTAGGTGTGACTATCATTGAAATTATTAATAAACATGATTTTGCAATTTTTCATAAACCATCTTGTACGGGTATTGTCATACATGATTCCTCGAAACATCCCTATCAACATAAGGTAGCAGCGTTCAATATTATGTTTTAGAGAATATTCCACTGTCAGAAATTAATTTTCAAAAAGAACAAAATTTTATCAAACATATCGCTGTCAACAACGGTTACAAGGTAGATATTATTGACTCCATTATTTTTTTTAAATTTTGAAAACGAGCCACATACCAGGCCTATCCCACTTCAGAAAACAATAATAAGCGTCATAGGACATTAACATACTTTGGTGAAACCATCAATAACAAACTTGGACGTGGCTTATCAGACAAATAATAATCAAGCAAATATAAAAACAATGAAGACACAATGTTTTTGTCGGGTAGATCATGAGTATATAAGTGGACTTGTGGTTCTTATTCAAAACTTTATATTGGTCAAATGGGGATAAGCTCGATTGTGACAGGCGGACATGATTTCTACCATGACTACGAGGTATAATGTTCCATAGAGAATGGTTTGAAACTATTTTGGAAAGCTTAGGAAATAATAGATTTAAGAATTCTAAAAGTTCACCAAATGACCAGGTATAATTTTATTATTCATATTATTCTTCTGGATCTTTTTTTAATGTTCAATTGAATAAATTCACATATACATTTAATGAGTTTTTTAATCTAATCTGTTTCTAATCTGTTTTTCCGTTAATCAGCTGTTGCCCCTATACAACTCTCAAAAGTTGAGAAACTTGTGCGAGCTAAGGACTAACGAGATCTTACCTTTCAACGTGTGATTCCTAACACAGTTGCAGAATCATCCCAGCTTCAACCAGATGAATTCTCTCGAGAAAAATATCTGGTCGAGGCAGGAATCGAACCCACGGTCTTCCAATCGTGAGTCGGGCGCACTACCACCGCGGCAAATTCCACAATTTTTTTTACAATATTCAAATTGTTACTATATAAAGCACAAATAGGAATTAGTCTATCTCATATCTATTTGAGTTGGCGAAATTTCCTGTTATAATGTTTGGAAATTTCAATTAGTTTTCACTTAAACTCAGGTATAATAACATTATTAGTCATTTCGTAGGTGGAAGGTCATATGATCCGAATTTTTATTATATGGAGCACAAACTTAGTAGCACAAACTCAGTCAGTATGATAACGCTTGAAAAAGTTTTCGTAGAGCGAAACAGATGTTAGTGTTACTCGAATATGACACAAAACACATGACGTATGTTAAGTACATTCAAATAGATATAAAAAAATTCACAGATTTCGAAATTGAAGTATCATGTGTCTCTGGGAAGAAAAGTACACAGATAGCTACTTCTACTTCTTGATTTATCATTTGAGTATCCATGATTTGTCTGTTTCAGATTCATGAGTGATTTGGAGATTCTGGGACTCATAGTTGCATGTCTTTGCCACGACCTAGACCACAGGGGTACCAATAACGCCTTCCAAATGAAAACTGACTCGCCACTGGCTGTGTTATACTCCACGAGTACCATGGAACACCATCATTTCGATCAGTGTGTCATGATACTCAATACCGACAGCAATAATATATTTCAAGTAGGTGGGTTTGGTTTAATGAATCACAGTAAAGGTTCGTTTTAGTCTTGAAAGCTTTGTTTTTTTTTAATGGAATACATGAATATTTGAAAATATTTTCAATTAAGCCGAAATAACTTCAAAAAAAGTAGTGATGTGTGCATAAGGGCAATTGCCTAAAAATAAACAGTAAAATATTATCAAATTTGTCAATTTCAGACTTGAAAAATTGATTATAAATCAAAGGTCAGATTTGAAAAAGTGAATTCAAATTCATCAAATACTTTTTATAAATTTGTAAATACTCACGTAGTTTCCTTTAATAAGAAGTGACCTACCTTTACTGAATTAATTTTGAAAATCATGGAGAGACTCATGTTAAGTTAATTTTTTGATTCTATACCTACTTCTTAAATACTATACACTGAACGGCTGAATAATAGAACGAATTAGTATTTCCCATAACAATGAACTTTTAGACAAAATGTCGCGAGCGAGAAGATCGAATCCTGCATAATGAAGTCGTAATGCAATTAAACTGTGGAATATTGCAAACCAATCGACTGTAGATGAGGAAGAAATCACACGAGAGGAGCGCCGTGGCAAGTGTTGCCAGGTATACTACTTTTGAAGTAGATCTCTCGTCAAACCATAGAACTACTGATCTACTGTTTGAGAGTTGAAATCTACTGACGACTAAATTCACATTTTATGATAATTATTTAATGCCTGTAGATAGTGGAAATCACCATATATGTAGTATGTATCTATAAAGATACTTCCACGGTTTTTTTATATCAATCTACTGTTTTTTCGACTCTCTCATCATTACACAATTCATCGTGATAATGATATGGCAATACTAATCCCCGACAAAATAAAAAAGTTGATATATTTCTGCAGATAACACAATATTCAATAATTCTAAAGCGGTACGAATGCAACTGGGTCAGACTGTCATATTTTATTATACTAATAGAGAAGTAGAGAGTCAAATAGGTTTTTTCTCAAAAAACTATTCTCTTTTCTTTGTCAAAATATTGTGGGAACTCTAGGAAAGCGATATCAACAGCTATATTTGACAGACAAACCAGAGTCATCTGAGGAATTCTAGCAGAAAAAAATGTGTCAAACATATCAGGTAATCATCGATGATTGAAAGGGTATCGAAGTAAAACAGTCGTAACAAGCTAAATCGCTCTTGAATTGACGAAATAAAGTTGATATGAGTTAACTTATCCGAAAAAAGTTGATAAAAGTTACCTTATCCGAATAACCTATCATCATTTTCAGAATGAACCAGCCCTATGCACAAAGAGGATTTACCAAATCAAAAGGTTGTTACAATTGCGGAAAACCGGAGAATGCAAAGGCATTGTTGAAAATTCATAACATACCAACTATTGAAAGAACTCGTTCCACAAACAACAATTGAAGAACAACAGCATTTATTTGCTAGAAATTGTTCAAAACTCAAGATAAATAATATATCAATTAACAAATATGAAACCAATCCGAACAACGAAATGAAATAATAATGTACCGGGCCTGATGAATTTACTAGTTGATACCATAATAAACCTCCCACATAAATATGATCAGACCTCGTAATTATACCACGCCGCACATGCCATGAAAAGAAACTGCCGATGTTCAGTAACTATTTAGTTTTTATGCCATTCAAATTGATTTCGTATATACTATACGTACCACAACTGTCAGACTGAGTTTTGAAGAATCAAATCTATAGACCACAGATGAAACGAGAACACTCAGGATAAGGTAATGTTCTAAAGTCATAAAGTGAATTTGTTTCGGAGCAAGATCAAGAATAAAGTTATACCTGAAATGAAGGAAAGCTCTTAGTATGGTGCAGTTGTCAAAATTACAGGCTCAATCCAATGTTCTGCGGTAGTAGAAGAACGAAATAAAGAATTGGTCTTATCGAGAGCACAAGTCGAAGATGTGCTTGAAATATCCACAGTTGTTGAACAAAAGGACTCTTCAGCATCAATACCATCCTGAACGTATTTCACAAAGATAATATTTAGGTCAAGTGTACCGTGATTGCGACTCAATGAGACACGTATGTGTGTATTCAAATTATAATTTCATGTTGATGAAGCTACTGTGTTAGCGAAACATGTTGTGATATATATTTTTCAAATGAAGTTTGTGGAGATCAAATCGTGAAGTGTAGTTTATGAAGAGAGTTGATAAATATAGAGGTCCATCTCTTCACTATGAGTTAATCAATTTCTATCGAAAAAGAACTATTGAGCTAATTGTTGACCCAAATACCATAAACAAACTTCATAGCCTAAATTTTTGTTTGAATGATAGTATAAACTATCGAAGAAAAGTTGATTATTTTTCCTTTTGAATGAATTATGTTATGGAAAGTATTAAAAAAAAACTTTTTTCGACCCCTAATACAGATATCGACCATCTCAAACACAAAATAAGAAATCAATGTACTCAATAGCATCACAACTATCATGCAAGAAAATCGCCATTGAACTTGTATGGACAGACAATGTATGTGCATTTAACAAAAAGGACGTCAATTCGAACATTTAATGTAGTTTGTCGTGTGAAATTCATTTTCTGTCCTTGTTTTATTTTCCTCCAGAAATACAAAATGAATTATTTTTTTCTGTATGATTGTTGTTTCTGATGATGCTACTCATTTTAAATGAAACGCTTCAAAGATACCAATATTTGTTATAAAAGAGACAGATCCGTATGTGGAAAAAATTAACGGTATTGATACGAAACATTCAATCAAAGCATCAATATTAAATAGTACATTTCGAACACAATAAAACGTTTTAATATTTTCTAATAATAATTCTATTCGTAAAAACAAGAACTGCATTAGTTTTCTACGTATAAATTGGGAAGGTCGAAAGTCTCTGTAATGTTTTTTTGGCCATTGTACTGTTGCCCACGATATATACTTTTTTTCCCATTTAATTGTCTTCATATCTGTAACGGTTTAGACCAGCGGTTCCTGAATGGTGGTCCGCGGAACCCTGGGGTTTCGTAGAAGGGGAGCAGGGGTTCCGCGTCCGTCCGACAGTTAAATAAAATATTCGTAGAAAAGACTCATAACTACATCTAACATGACTTCGCCTCAATCCCGGTAAGGTGCGCGACAAACATTTGGAACCTTTTGGTTGAGATATGTTGAAACACATAATGAAAACGCAACGCAAGCATCATTCCCGCTGAGTTACAGAATTCATCGTGCTGGTAAACCACACACGATTGTAGAGAATTTATTCAAACCATGTAATGCAGATATCGTCAGTTGCATACTCGGAAAAGATGCACCAAAAAAAGATGCAGCAGTTCAGTGTTTCAATAACATCATATCTGATCGAATTCATAAGAATGCAGATCATATGAAGATGAATCAATTTGTAGATTGAAAGACAGTGAGATGTCTGCTTTACAACTTGACGAAAGTACAGATGATGCCGGGTTATCAATACTGCTTGTTTCCATGAGATACTCCTTCGAAGGATCAATTGAAGAAGATTTGTTTCTCTGTACACCCTTGGAGACCAACACAACAGGAGAAGAAATCTTTAAAGTCATTGATAATTATATGACTAAACACCATATTGACTGGAACAAATGTATTAATGTGTGTAGCGACGGAGCTGCAGCTATGGTCAGCAAAATAAAAGGAACTGTAACAAGAATAAAGAATATTGTACCCAATTGTAGTAGCAGTCACTGCGTTCTGCATCGTCATGCCCTTGTCGCAAAAAATATGCCATCGGCCATCGATCTAACCGTACAAATTGTTAATTACGTTAAATCACGTCCACTTCAATCGAGGCTTTTTAAAAGCCTGTGAAGAGGTTGGAAGTTAGCATCAATTACTTTTACTACACACGGAAGTAAGATGGCTTTCAAAAGAAAAAGTTTTATCGAGATTATTAGAATTACGCAACGAGCTTACGATATTCTTTGCAGAATAACCTATTTCTGTATCTGTTAATACGCTTGTTGAACTATTGCATGATGAGCAATGGTTGATGAAATTGGCTTACTTAGTTGATATATTCGATAAACTCAACGTAATCTGCCAGTCCCTACAAGGAAAAACGGTAACCACATTTACAGTAAAAGACAAAATATCTTCTCTTAAAAACAAAATTTGCGTCTAGATAGAATGTGTGGAACAAAAAAATTACCAATGTTTTACTCTTTTGAATAACTTCCTGGAAGAGAATGAGTTACGAGTAACCTCAGATGTGGAAAAAAATATAATTAAACATTTAATTAACCTCGAAATATCCTTGAAAGATTATTTCCCGGAGAAGATACAGGACATCGACAAGGTTCAGAATCCATTCACAAAACATACCAAGCCATCGATGCTAACTGTGTCAGAGTATGAGAATTTGATCGACATTAAGTGTTCATATCTTCCAAAATAAAAATTCGAATCAGAAGATTCTAATCTGAATGACCACTTCATGGTTCTGCTTCGTTTTGTGACGACTTTCCGATTTGAAACTGGTTTTTCAGTTTACGTTTATACCAAAAACAAGTTCAGAAATAGGCTGGATGCAGCTCCGGATTGTCAGATATTAAGACTAATTTTAATACTATTATAAGAAAATATGTGAAAATATGTCATTCTTCACATTGAAATAGTTATAGTTACTTACTTAATTGTATTTATATTTGTATAATAAATATTTTGTACTGCTTACTTATTTCTCATTTATATTTTGTTTCTTTCTTCAAAGTCTCATATGAAAAATATTCGAAATACAAGGTAATTTCTTTAGTTATCAAAATAGGGTTTCACCAAAAAAAATATCGTCAATTAGGGTTCCGATACCAAAAAAAAATTGGGAACCCCTGGTTTAGACTATAGCAATGTTACTACATGATAAGGAAACGGTCTGTATATACTTCAACTCCATACATAGAACAGCAATACTCGAAACCTTCTTTCACGTGATTATAATCAGGGAAGATTTTGATAAGGTCATTTAGAATCCACTCTAAGCGCACTAAATTTTTTTTCTCCAGTTTTTACACAATACTTCGATGACTTACAGTTTTCACAAACCATGTTGAACGATAAGTCTGTAAAAGTATGCTGATCACATATTTGTTTTTTCAAATTTGACTTTAGAGAGATGTTAATATGGAGGTCAGTTGAATATTTGTGTAATTATTTTTCTAATAGGAGAAACAACTCAGGTAATTTATTTTAGGCATTATCTCCTGAAGACTATAGAAAAGTAATGCGATTAGTAGAGACTGCAATCTTATCGACAGATTTGGCAATGTACTTTAAAAAGAAAAATAAATTTTTGGAGCTTATAGAAAACGGAGAATTCGATTGGCAGAGTGAAGACAAAAAAGAGTGTGAGTTGTTCAATGTCTTTCAGGAACAAATCAAATTGTGATTGATTCAACATACATATGTTTGTAGTACTATCCGGAATGATGATGACAGCTTGTGACGTGAGCGCCATAGCGAAACCATGGGAAGTGCAGCACAGGGTGGCTAAACTTGTAGCAGATGAGTTCTTTGACCAAGGCGATTTGGAAAGAATGCAATTGAAGGAGCAACCTGTGGTAATTTCAATCAATCGACGTGTGCCGTTCTATAATAGAGGCCTTCATGAATTTTGTGACTTTGTCCACTCTTTATGTTATCTTTTTCTAAAATCGTCTTTTTTGTACTCATTTGATTCTTACTCGTCCCAGTTTCTAGTCGATAAATTTAAAAAATACTTGGTTTATCCCCAATTAGGTTCCAAGATGTTTAGAAACAATTGAGAAGTGGACTTTAAAATTATAAGGGACGCCAAGTTTAAGGAAAACAAATTTCTGAATTGTTAACCAAATGCCCTTTTAACATTGTGAGCGGTAAAATTCAAGGGTGGATAGTAACTATAGCTGCTCAAATATTATTCGCCACAGGGGGGAAGTTTGATGAAGGCACTTTTCAATTATAGTAAAAATATAATTCAATTGATACACAAAGCAGGAGTAGTTCAGTGACAGCGAGGAAAAGTATGTTCTTTGCTCTACCGCTACCGGTCAACTCGTCTTTTGTAGGTACGTACACACTCGAATCTGGAGTGCTAAGGGAGTACAGGGCGTTAAAAAACTTGGGTAAGAGTAGAATGTAAAGGAAATAAGTGAGATAATAATAACAAATATTAATTCGACAATTGTGGATGTGATATGATTTAAAGTAAACATTTTTTTTAAACAACTGGGGACGAACCAATATATTTTGTTTTTGTTCCTCTTCACTTTTTGTTCTTGTTTTCTCACTGCTCCAGAACCGATTCATTTTTTTCACCTCCTCATTGATTATATAACGCATGTTCCTAAATTTTGGTATAAATTTAGTAGTATTTACAAAACTCTGTTCAATTTTTCAATCTTATTTGCTCTGCAGATGTCGCTAACTGATTTTTCTCTGTTCAATTTTTTTGTAAAATAATCACACTTATTCGATAATAATGTATCTCTCGTGATTATGAATATGCATTTAACTCATTTCATTTTTTTAAATTTATTCGACATTCAGTTATTACAATGCTCAACAGGCACAAATGGACAGAGAGCGAAAAGATGAACTTCCCCAGATGCAAGTAGGTTTCATCGACCTAATCTGTCTTCCTCTGTATAAGGTATTATCCGAAACATTCCCATGGGTAAAACCCTTGTATCAAGGCACTTGGGAAAATCGACAGCACTGGCAAGATCTTGCAGAGAAAGTGGAAATGGGACTCACTTGGATAGACCATGATACGATAGATAAACCGGTTGAAGCGTTTGGAGGTAAAATTGTAATTTATTATCTAGAATTTTTCTGTGATATAATGTCTTGGTAATGAGATTCCATCAATGAATAGCTAGCCTACTCTGAATTTTTAGGAAGTCACTTGATACCACTTAAAAATAACTATACGCTGTACGAAAAATGGAGACAGGAAGATAGGAAAATGTTTTTTTGCGCCTCTATATGTGAAGGTGATAAATTCACGCATGGCTCTCTTAAAATTAGTTTTTCGTTTTGAAAATGATTCATTCGGTCATGCTGACTAACAAATGTCATCTCAAATTGATAATTGAAACTGAGCAAATAAAAACTGAGAGGTGGAACTCGAAACTAAACTTAGAATAAATTCCAAACAACTACTGCTTCCAAATACTAGAACTGCAACACTCTTCACGACGCGCACCCTGCCAATTTTGTTGGCATCTTCAGGAAGTAGTTTGAATAACAAAAACATTTTTCAATGATGTATAGATCATGCATAGAAAATTCTTTCAGGTACCAACTGAAAGAAAAACGCTTTGAAAATAGCTACTTTCACATAAAAATTGGATTACACGAAAGAAAAGGTCTTTTCTAAACGAATAGTTTCATATCAACATTGAATCATACTAAAATCACTTTTTTCTTATCACTTTGTACTTAAAACAGTCGTTATCGAATTGAAACAGATATCAACTACAGGAATGCTGCACAGCTCAATATTTGAAAGAGTTTTGATATATTGATATTGTCAAATATGGGAAATAATCATGAAATAATTAAAATTCATTTAAGTAAATATATAAATTGAAAGCTGTTCCAATCTCAACTTAAATATTGTAAAACAAAAACACTCAGTATTCAGAATTCCATCTTCCAAGTTCATAGACATCGAAATTGATCCGATCACAGGATATAGAATATAAAACAATCTCCAAATACGCAAACTTTGCATAGATTGCATGCTGAGCATTTTACCTTAAGTACAGTGACCGGATCAAAGTTGCAATGTTTTCGTATAAATCTTCATAAATATTGAGGGAGATCAAGATCATGTATTCAGAAATTCATTTGAGTATCTATTGATCATTAGCAATGCAGCACATCTCCTTCTCTTCAATCCTGCTGGGTGACAGTATAATGTAAGTTTTTGGTGTTTTAATGTATTTTTAATTGAGAAACGAGTTTTTAAGCGAGTTCTTTCATTATTTGGATGAATGAATGGGTGAAACAGAGAATAAAATCCTCTCGAATAGCCAAGCGAGTACTTAGTTGCGACACGCGGATCAATTTCGATGTCTATGAACTTGGAAGATGGAATTCTGAATACTGAGTGTTTTTGTTTTAGAATATTTAAGTTGAGGTTGGAACATCTTTCAATTCATGTATTTACTTGAATGAATTTGAATTATTTCATGATTATTTTCCATATTTGACAGTATTTTGAAAAGTTTTGTCCGTTTTTATAACTCAACTCAAAAATGTAATATTCCAATGAATACTTATTCAATTCCGCCGAAATTAGCGCCATTTGAATTAGTGCACTTTTTCCAAGGGAACAGAAGGATTAATTCAATCAGCATAAAAATTGGATGTTCGAGATTCGACGAAGGCCGTTTGTGCCTGGTATTCATTGGCGAAGATTCTACCGGTGAGAAAGTTATCGTTGTGCTCGGATAGATAGTAGTCGGTTGACGAAAGGTCTGGTGAAGTGGGTGAGGTAGAACTTCGACGTTAAATTCGTATAAATTCAGGACGGTGATTTGTGAAACTTGTGGACCGGATTGAACATGGAGCCGGATCGGACCTCTTCTGTTGACCAATGCTACAATAGGACTCTGCTGTGGTAGTTTGGCTTGGTTGCAGATGATTACAATGAATCTCACCATCCGCTCACCACCATACAGTAACCATGTTTTTTGTGAGTCTTCGCTTTCGGGAAAAGCCTGGGTGGCTCATCGGCGTTTCACCAGTGTCCTGAACGTCTCCTGTTATCGTAGAGGATCCACTTTCCATCACACGTTATGAACCGACCCAGAAAAGAATCGTTCAGGTTCCGCAAAGAACGAAGAACGTAACAATTTCTGCCGATTATTCTATTCATGGGTACCCTCTTGTCGAACTTTTTGACCTTTCCAATATGTTTTGAATCATCAAAAACCGCATTGGAGAGGACGCCTTGTTCTTCCGTTTGTAATGAGTCAGTCTCCATCAGGGTCCTCAAATCCTCGTCCTGGATTACTGAAGGTCGACCACTCTAGGCTCATCTTTGAGGCTGAAATCTCCGGATCGAAATTTCGCAAACCAACACCGAACAGTTTGTTGCCAAATATGTACCTGGGTAATTTTTCAGACTGTTTCCGCAACGCGTTGGTTTAATTTAAATTCGTAGATGAAAATTTGGCAAAAACTAATCTGTAAAATTCCCCTTGAAATTCACAACAAATCTTCAAACAGGCATGCTTTTTATGTTTTGGAACGAAAATAAATATATACTGTAACGAATTGAAGAATTAACTGTCTTGAACAAATTTATTTTTAACAATATTTCACTATCACAACTAATTTATATTCAACACTTAGCAACTAACGATTAATTGATCTTCACTCGGGAGGGTAAGCCGGCTTTTATATCGGCAACGATCACTAGATCTCTCTTTCTCTCTAGTCGTTCCGGCACTCATCTATACTTTTCGCGGCTGTTCCCGGTAAGTCATGTGTTTGCTGGCTGAGATATCGGTCAGAGCCGGCTTCAGATTCGTTAAATTGCCCCCTTCTTAAAGACGTTTCGCCTCGAAATATCATCCTTGGCGTGTGTCGATACCTGCAGGACTCCCCATGTCTGCACTGTGAAGTTCGATGGAAGTAACACTTCACAGTCTTCATGTTCTGTCGTAGAAGATGGTTACCGCATACCAAAATCTTGATGCCGCTGGATCTGAAGATCGTTTCCAACATGCTTCTCACAATTCTCCAGTACAGCCTGTCGAGCCCAGAGGCTAATTTCTGCAGCACTCCTCCGACTTACTTACTTCTCGTAATGTTTAGAGCTGACCGAATTTCTTGTTAAATACCACTGCGACACCTTTGGACATTTGGAGCTAGTGAGCTAGTGCGTAATCAACTGGGACCTTGAAAAGGTCTCGTGGCTCTTCTCGAGTTACCCTATGTACAACCTTCTGTCCGTTCGAGTATAAAAACATGAATTGCTGGAACGTCATTTCATCCTCTGGTGGTATGAGGACGTGAAATTGGTCGTGATTTCCAGCATAAAGAGCCAATCTATTAAAATGGACGACGCTAGGCTTTCCTCGAGGTGGCTTATGGATTCGAGAGACGAGGTCATTCAGTTTTTCATGATTTTGTACGGACCCTCCCACTAGTTCCGCAACTTCGGTGATAAACCACGGCGTCGCTTAGAGTTGTACAGCCAAACTAGGTCTCCAATTTTGAATCCTCCAGCATTCGCCTTGATGTCATAGGCCTCCTTCATCTTATCGCTGGCACTCCGGATGTTTAGACAGACTTGTTCATGGATGTCGTCCATTCTATGCCGAAGCTTGCTGACATAGTTTTCCCCCGCAGTGCCTTGTTCTGGCGGCATCCCAAATTTCAGGTCGCAAGAAAGCCGCAGCTCTCGGCCCATTATAATACTGGCAGGAGTTTGACCGGTTGACTCGTGCACTGCCGAACAATAGGCCAACAGGAACAGGTGGAGGTACTGATCCTTTGACAAGTGGCGGTTTATGGTCTTATTCATTCGTTCCACCATTCCATCGGACTGTTGATGTAAGGCTGTAGTTCTGATCTTTCGAATGTAGGTTGGACTCAAAATTTCTGCCCTGGTCCGAATGCAGCTCCAATGGGACACCGAATCGACATATCCATTCCTTTACCAAGACGTCAGCGACGGTAAAGGCTTCCTGGTTGGACAGGGCGTAGGCTTCTGCCCACTTACTGAAGTAGTCTATGGCTACCAAGATGTATTTGTTCCCATGGTCGGACTCTGAGAACGGACCGATGATGTCGATGGCTATTCTCTCAAAAGGACTACCCACGTTATACTGGCGCATTGGAGCTTTCGGTCGTATCCGAGGTCCGTTACTGGCAGCACATACAGCACATTTTCTGCACCATTCCTTGACGTCGGCTTGACAATTAACCCAGTAAAACCGTTGTCTTACTTTCTTATTTTTTTCGTTACTCCCAGATGTCCTCCAGTAACTCCATCATGGATTTCTTTGAGCACCTCCCGTCGTCTGTTCCTGGGTACCACTGTCTGGCGCCTTTCTTCTCCACCGTCTTCAGATTCCAACACCCGCTTCAGAACCCCGTTTTCAAAGTTCAGCTAGCCTACTCAAGAGTTCAGAGTTCAGAGTTCCATTGTGCCCAGTAGGACTTGACCGCTGGCGAATAACCTGCTACCTCCTGCCACGATGGTCTTGGGTTATTTTTCTTCCAACCGATGACTAAACCAAGATCTGGGTCTTCCTCTTGGTCTTCCTCGATCTTATTATCCTCCCAGTTGTCGTCTACAGCTCTAGTTCTACAAATGGCTGCTTCCTTTTCTTCTGCTCGTCGGCAATGTGAGCAGTCATCGGGGCATGGTCTCCGTGACAGGGCATATCTGCGTTTTTATAGCTAGTCCCAGTCGATGTTCTATTTCGAAGTCAAATTCTTGTAGTCTCTCAATCCACTGCGCTACTTGGCCCTCGGGATTTTTGAACTGCAGAAGCCATTTGAGAGCTGCATGGTCCGTTCTCAACAGAAATCTTCTTCCATACACGTATTTGTAGAAATGCTCTACACCTTTGACAACGGCAAACAGCTCTCGCCTGGTGACACAGTAATTACGCTCTGGTTTACTGAGCGTTTTGCTGAAGTAGCCAATAACTTTCTCCTGTCCATCCTGGATTCGAGAAAGGACTGCTCCAAGTCCCACGTTGCTGGGGTCCGAATCTAAAATGAACTTTCCATCAGGTAGGGGACAGCTCAAAATAGTAGCGTTGATCAAAGCTCT